CTAACATGAAGAGCAGGGATGTCAAACGTACGGCCCGTGGGCCAAAACCGGCCCACTAGGGGGTTCAATCCGGTCCACTTGATGAATTTTGAAGGTGGGGAAAAATGCACAAACGCTTCATTTTCGTGATGTTTTGTCAAATTATATTTCATAATATATATATATATATATAATATAAATAAAAACAAACTCAACCCAACTTTTATTTGAAAAACACTTAATAAATAGTGCCAAGGTGGCACACAGTTGTCTCAATGATAGACAGACAGATAGACAGACAGACAGATTACATTAATCTCAGCCCCAAAATTTTAAGGAAACAAAAAAACATAAACATTAAATAAAATATAATTAAAAGCCACTGCCAATTTATTTTCAAAATGTTATTGCTTGGACATGCACAGGAAAGACGGACAAAGTGATTGAAATGCTAATGTATGCGAATCTATGACAACTGTACAAAGACCATAATAGGAATAATATAAAACATATAAGGGCAGAAACACAGACTGACTGCAGTGGTTTCATAGATTTGATTGGTCACATAAGTCTTGTCAGGTCATGGTTACAGATATTTATTGAAGCTCACAAAACCTTTGATTTTATATTGAATATTTTTCATTGCCAGATATATTTAAATCTTGTGGTGCAACAGTTAGTCGAAAACGTGCAGTGATAGTCATAGATCCAGGCTGAACAGAAGCTACCATAGCAGACGATGTGTAGTCTGCACACAAAGGTCAGGCTTTGGCACATAAAACACTGGAGGTCAGGGAGACCAAACAGTGCCTCCTTGTGTCTCTTCCTGAACCTCCCACTATCACACACACTGGCTGCCAACATTTACACTGTGTTGAGAAACGGCTGGGCTCCAGAAAACAGCAGTGGAATTATTGACGCTTGACGCATGTGTTTGGGAACGTTGAAGCCTGGAGACCCTCTGTACCCTCCTCTTTCCTATCTTCCTTTTTTATTCCTCCTACTTCCTTCTCTCCTTCCTTTCTTTTGTTCCCATCAATGTGACATCTGGTTATGTGCCAGAGCAACAGCTGTCCCTGCTGCTGCTGCTGCTGCTGCTGCTGCTATGGCTGAAGAAGATTTGGGTTTTTCCCCTAGTGGGATTCCACTGTGGGCCAGGTGTGGCTCCTGTGGGATCCTTCTCAGACTCCGTGTCTCCTCATGTGGTCAGCAGATGTTTGCAGAACCGTCTTATGGAGATGAACGGGACGATTTAAAGACACTGTTAGCAGAGTTTTCGTGTCAGTGACAAACAGATAGTATGTTTGAAACATATAATTACCCATAATGCACCAGCTAGGCTTAAAAAGGCACCAAACATCTCTGTTTACTTGGTTTTCTTGCAGCTGGCAGGTTCAAAGTCTGGTTCAGGGGCCAGCATTGGCACACCACTTTTTTGTTCTGTTTTGTGTTTAGCTTTTTTGCCTGTTGGCCTGTGTGAAATAGTACTAGTAATAGTACTATTTTTTAACCATAATCCTTTCACCAAATTCCATGTATTATCATATGGCCAAATATTATCTACTTCTATGCTAACTATTTACATTTTCAAATCGTACTCTTGGTATCATTTGTTACATGGTACATTTAGACATTACATAAAACAAATAGAGATATCAAAGAGTCAAATTAAAGAAATCTTAAACGTAAGATGTTAGACATTACAGCGAATGATTAGCATTTTCTGTGCTGACCTTTGGACTAACAGGCCATAAAAAACACTCCTTTTATGCATCTTCTCATTCATTCATTTAGAAATCTTTTGTGCCACCTCAAAATAATGAAGTATAATAGAGTAATGAGTATAATTGATTCAGCTCTGTGTCAAAGCTGCAGACAGGTACGTTTGATTTGGTTTGGTTTAGATTTCAGAGGTGGAGCTGTGTCTCCCGGTTTTCACTGATCTGACCTCAGAGTCTTGGAGCCAAAGGTGGAGCTGAGGACAGCAGGGAAGAATCTGCTGACTGCTGTGTTTGTTCAGCAGCAGATCTAGACAGTTTTCTCTCTCTGACTCATCATGCACAGCTACATCAGTCTGAAATCTCTGGTCATCCTGACAATTGCATCTATTTTACAGAATCTTCATCTAACTGTCAAACCTGTCTTGGACCATTTTCCATGACCAAATTAGACAAATTGATAGACAGAAAGTGGTCTGCTGGCTCTCATACAGCATTTCCTTTCCTTGGAAGCATCTCCTTTTAGTTTCTATCACTTCCTACCACTTTGCTGTTCGCAACAGTATATATACTTATATATATATATATATATTGCGAACATATATATTAGATTAGATATATAGATATTTAGATAATATAAGCCTATATATAAATTATTTTTTCAAAAATGATTGTTTAAAGATGTCATAAACCAAGTGAAGATTAGTGTCAGTTCATCACCGAGCTAAATTCACACATTGTTACTGGAAACAGTAAAGTTTCATCCATTTATTGTATAGTATCAATGAAACAACTATATACACAATGGTTTGTTTTTTATCTCACATTCATATTCACAATCATATATCTTGTGGCTGAAAACGACATGTTAATAATAACATGCTTTCTATTGAAATGTCCATTAACCGGTTCCTCAGAGCTGCATGTGTTTATGTTGGGTTTCCATCACAGTCCATAAACACTCACTTCCTCTGCCTCAAGAGGCTGGAGGAAGACACAGAAGAAATCTGTGACGCTTCTCTCAGAACAGTGCCATGAAGACAGTGAGAGAGGATAGTTAATGGATGTTGGGCTGCTTATGTTTAGCAATCTTGATTCAAAAAGTGAAAACAGACTCTCTGGCTGCTAAGAGTGAGTCTGCTCTGTGGAGCTGACTGATTTATGGATGCAGTTTTTTTTCTCTCAGCTCCTTCTGACTGAAAGGAATCTTCTGTTGGGATTCTTCTCGCTCTGTTTTTGTTTGTCCTGCGGTTAAATAGAGCTTCAGTGCAAACATTTGCTTTTTTTTTTGTTGTTTTTTTTTTTCTTCCCCTTCCTCTTGGAAACTTAGATCCTAATCTGTGACAGCGATGTTTATGTCTCACCATGGAAAAAACGGTCGGCTGCTATTTGGTACAGATCTGAAAGTAAAGAGACTATCACTGTGTCACTGGCTCAAATATTTGGGAGCTAACTGTGACAGAGGATTCATACGACTGGCAGGACAAACTTTTGGAAATCAGTCACAGCTTTGTGTTTTGTTGTTTTTATTTAAATCCACCCTTGAAAACTTTTATATGCCTCAAATTCATAAACTATTTCTAACACAGAAGATTTAAAGTTACGTAACACTGATTTATCCCCACCAGACTGTCAAAATATTACTTCCCCTGGCTTTGGTTAAAATAACTCACATCTGCTTTATTTATTGACACTGCCGTAAAATGAGAAAGAAAAATAAGATAATTAAAAAACAGTGTGGGGATTAAAGCTATTCAACAAGCTAACAACCTCAGAGATACAAAACGGAGTTTGGAAGTAATGTAAATTGATTATAAAATAATTAAAAACAACATACAACAACATACAGATCATACAGTGCTCTTATTAATGACAGAGACTTTAAGCAGGCTAACATCATGACAAGAGACAACCACAGAACACAAATGACTACATTTTTATGTTTGCGCTTATAGTTAGTTAATGCATTTAGCGTCAGCAGTTAGTTATATAAAACGACGCTTGAAGAACACGTTTACCAATCAAACACTAGAGGGAGACATTTACTCAGAAACAAGAATTTAGGCTCTAACCCTTTGAAATCAGTAACATACAACCTTAATATAACGTTCAGACTGCTACTGCAACTGCTGCTGCTACTAATACTACAAATACTACTACAACTGCTGCTTCTACTAATACTACAACTACAACAACTGCTAGTAGAGGAAATACTAGTAAAGAAATAAGCCCTCAGTTCAATATATTAGCCTTCGATTTATTCAATAATTTGCTGTATGTGATTTTCTTTACGTATTGCGACACTAAGTATGCACTTCCACTTGATAACCAAATATATTTCAGCCACTCTAGGCTGTCTTATATAGTACCACCAAGTCCTTGTCTCATTATGTCCTACAAATAAACAAAGATTTTTATTTTTCAAGATCAACAGTATTTGTGTACAGTATGTGTTTTTGAAGATAAAAGGTTTCCTGCAGTGCTGCAGGTTCATGTAATTTCTTCAACACTGTTGTTTTTCTCAGTGTGAGACGTTTGTTACTTCAATATTAGATGCTGCCCCTGCTTTGTGTGGCTTGTACAGTTAAATATATATAAATGTATAGCTTCTTTTACCATTTGGGGAGTGGTACTTTTAACTACTTTACTCTCAGGAACCCACTGTCTGTAAACATTTTCTACTCCATGAATAATGCAATAACTAGAAAAACATGTAAGAACGTCAGGTGAAGTCGCACTTCAGTCAACTGCTGCTCAGACCAGAAGATCATCTGTAAATATTCCTTAGATGGAAATGTGACGAGTTTTCTAATTCTAAAATGAAGCAGGATCAAACTTTTATTTGAACTAATAATTAGCAGACACTTCAGTTTGAAACCATGCACCTCACTGCAGCTGTTTGTACCTTGATCCTCACAACACACGTGGTGAGTAATGGAATTTTTAGAATTCTTAGAATTATTATTCTTATGGAATTATCTCTTCTAATACAATGTGAACAAAGATGTCTCTTTACATTTTAACTGCAGAGCATGTTACTGGACTATATTTTTCAATATTCAGATTTTACTGTGCAAAACTCGTACATAAACATACTAGTGTATGTTTGAGCAATAATCTGATTTTATCTATGAACTGTTTGCAGTATTCAAATTGACTTTGCAATAATGTGGTTGTTGTTAGAGTAATAGTTGAACGTCATCTGTGCACTATTTTGTTCAGTTCATGTTATGTTTTTACGTTATCCAGTTTACTATAAAATATTTAAGTACTAGTAAAATGTGCAAACTTCACATTTACATTTCATGTACTTTTATTTTTGGTATATTTTGAAATTATATTTTTTATATTTCTTGTTCTTGATATGATCCTCCTCTGCTCATACATATATGTATATCATTTTTAATATATTTATCTGTCTGTCAGGTCAACTCCACTCACCCAGAATGTTCCGTTGTTCATTACCTGCTGAGGGAAGAAACCAAGTGTAAAAACAGAATGAACAATGTGACATTACTCAGGCACTTCCGTAATAAAACTACAGGTACTTGATTTAAACAATACAAAAATATTCTAAAGACTGTACTTTAAACTCACATACTGTATGTGTACGTCTTAGGTTGTGTAATGGACTGGGATGGAGTGACTTGTTGGCCAGCAGCTTCTGCAGGAGAGACCATCTCTGTGCAATGTCCACAGTTGCCCCTGCTGACCCAGAATCCTACAGGTGAACAGTACAAAGGTAAGTCAAAAAGTTATAAGACAAATTTAAAAAAACTTTTATTTATGTCACTCACATAACACATTTTTTTCAGTTCTCATCAGCAGAGTATGTACTGTCGATGGATGGAGTGAACCAAGTTTACCATATTACAAAGCATGTTACCATGACGATGACGATCCAGATGAAGAAATGAGGAAACAGGTTGAGCATACAGTATATTAAAAAACGGCCGTCAGTATACATACGTGCAGAACCTCTCTGGTGAATTTAGATTCTTGGAGCCAACGTGCAGATGATGAATATTTTATGTTTTGCTCCAGAAAAACTACTTTGACACAGTGAGGTTGCTGTACAGCGTTGGTTATGGCCTTTCTCTGGCCACACTCCTCGTTGCGCTGCTGATTTTTTGCACTTTCAGGTCTGTGACCCAGATATTATAGTCAGATTTTAAACAGAGAGTAACACGTTTTCATGTCAGGTTCTCTGTGCTTCCCTCTGCCCTGCAGGAAACTGCACTGTACTCGTAACCACATCCACCTCAACTTGTTTGTCACCTTCATGCTCAGGAGTCTGGCTGTGTTCATCAAAGATGCAGTTCTGTTTGCAGACCACAGCTTAGACCACTGCACAATGTCTACAGTGAGACTGAACATCACAAAACAACTGCAAATAAATCTCACTGTAAAAAAGACTTCACTCAGTGTAGACGTCAGGGTTCACATGTTTAGAAATGTTTTTTTCCAGTAACTGGCTGAAAATATATGATACAAAGGTTAACAATGTTCATTTTCATTAGTATTTACAAATATAAATACTGTAAATACTAATACTTTCATGTCTGTTCAGGCTCAGTGTAAAGCAGCAGTGACTTTCTTCCACTTCTGCGTTCTGTCTAACTTCTCCTGGCTGCTGGTGGAAGCTTTGTACCTGCAGAGTCTGCTGCTCTTCCCCTTCACTCGGACCAGGACGTTCTGTTGGATCTACGCCACCGTTGGTTGGGGTTCGTCATGTGCTCCTATTCAGTTAATAATAATACTAATAATAATAACAATAATTGTGGTTGTTGGTAGTACTAGTTATTTATGTTTTATTTTCTCATTTGGAGTGTATTTTGCAGGTGCACCAACAGTTATTACTGTAATCTGGGCTCTGATGAAGAAGGAGATGGATGATGAAGCGTGAGTAAAAATCTATTATTATTATTATTACTATTATTATTGTAAATACATAGAGCATGGTTTTGAGTGTTGTGTTCAGGTGCTGGGATGACCTGGAGAGTCGACTGTGGTGGATAATAAAGACTCCAATTCTGCTCTCCATTTTTGTGAGATACTGCAATATTGACTCAACAATACACACGTAATTGTTGAGTTGATGGTTGACACACTGTTGATGCTGTGCGGCCTTCAGATAAACTTCCTGATTTTCGTCAACATCAGTAGGACCATCGTTCAGAAAACCAAGGCCACACACAGACACCAGACTGATACACAGCTGTACAGGTGCTGTAATACAACCCACACAGTTCAACGATGCAATACATGATGTTTTTTTTTAACTTCCTCTGCCGCCCCCTGCAGGACACTGCTTCATTCCACTCTGGTCCTCATACCTCTGTTTGGTTTGCACTACGTGGTTTTTGCCATGTTCCCTGAACACGTGAGTGTGGGTCCTCGACTCTACCTGGAGCTAGTGTTAGGATCCTTTCAGGTGACACACACACACACACACATTATCATTATTATTAGTTTTTTTTATCCATTCAATGCCATCAGGGTGCTGTAAAGAACTGGACCTGTTTTGTGATGTTGTAACAGGGGTTCATTGTTGCTGTCATGTACTGTTTTCTCAATGGAGAGGTGAGCCATGTTCTAAATTTAAATGTCTTTATTTCAGCTTTTCATAAAATCACTTCTATGAACAGGCAGAAAGTAATTTGTTTTTTTTTCCTTTCAGGTCCAAAATGAAATCCAGACTCTGATGAGAAGCTTCAGGACTGAGAGGAACACTGTTGTGATCCACCTTCAGACTCTAGAAGATGTTTCCTGAATTCTATTTTTAATACTTGATCTAATACAGTAATTAGAAAAAGTAAATATAAGTAATGTACATGAATGCAGTTGTTTAAAGCAATTTAAATGTATTAATTTAGGTTTATTTCAGTTCTAAAATCTTAGATTTTCATAATCTAACTCTAATAATGAAGAGGTTTACAAAAGTTATATTTATATAGTTAAGCACATTTTCAAACTAGCATTAGTCAAACAAAATAATTCTTAAGACAGTATAAAATAATTCCAATTGGAAATAAACTGTTCTTTCTTGATTTATACCTCAATTAAATTACAAATTTGATGATGATGTCACGCATGGGTCCATATTCAATGCAATGCAAAAAAATGCAATAAGTAAAATTTAAAAAAAAAGATCAAACATCGTTTAATGCCACACGATGAAAATAATAATTGTGCATAATAATTTTTATATGAATTACCTATAAATGAAATAATGAAATAGAAAATTTAAAAAAAAGGAAAAGCTAATAAATAAACAAATATATATATATATATATATATATATATATATACATATAACAAATGAACACAGTAGATTAGATTGAACTGGTTTAGATTAGGTAAGGTAGAAGGAATATGTAATAATAATAATTGTCATTATTAATTTATTATTATTATTACTATAATTACTATTATTATTAAGAATGTATTTAGGAACTTAATCAGATTCAGATTATTCCAACTCTTGGGTGAAAAAAATGATCTGCTGAATTATTAAAAAGCAGATGAGATTAACTCAGGTTGTGGACACTTAGCATGGCTGGAGTTAACTCAGTAGGGGAGTCCTCCTCTCCTCTGGCCCCTGAATGATCTAGACCCCCATGGTTCACGTGGCTCCCTCCTCCCCACCAGTGTGAGTATGTTGTCTTTGCCTTATATAGAGCAGTGTTATCCCACTGCTCTGCCTGGGAACTGACTGTGGGATTAGACTGCAGCCAAGGTCTACAACCTGCTCTGCTTCTGTTGTTCTACACGTGTGCAGCAGCTTTGAACGGGGCAGGATGAATGGCATAGTGGACGAGAACTACGACAACGTTCGTCATGACTGCTCTTTTATGTTCACCTCCGAGTCCGTTGGAGAAGGACATCCTGGTGAGTAGAACCTTAGGACCGTCATCCTCAGGGAGCCCTGCAGCTCCATGTGGTGTGGAGTCTGACTGAGGACGAGTGTCTGTCATGTGATGGAGCTACTGTTCATGTTCCACTGCTCATTGGTGACTTTGAGGAATGTGCAGGATTCTGAGTGGTCTACAACTGGAGCCAGAGGAAGAGTCAGGCTGCACAGAGGATGCACGTGGTTCACATAAAGTTTTACTGCATTTCACATGGTGTTTTTGCACAGATCTTACTCTCTTTCCGTGCTACAATAGTTTTTCTGTGCTGTGTCTAGGAGACAAAACCACCATTTGACTGTCAACATTTACCCTTAAGAGTGTTTTAGTGGGAATGTCTTTCAAAATATTTACATTTTAAATGCATATGAACTAAATTAGGTTCTGTGCATCACAATAAGACACACAGGCACCATGAATGAATTGATTGAATTACAGGTATTTTTGTTTGGAGACAACAGTAACCTACATTTTATAATATATTATAGAATATATATGGAATAATATAGAATATTTCTGTTCCTTCATCAGTGGGGCAGCTGTGTGTTTTGTAGTCCATTTTCTCTGCCTGCCACATGTGGACCACTAAAGGATCCAAGAAAATTGAAAATATAAACATACATGCATCCACTAAACATTCTCAGCAGCACAGTAATTAAAAAGTAAAGTAAATTATATTTTTTTCTCTGCAAATAGATTTCTAACTTTCAGGAAAGTTACATAAATGAAAATTAGGAGCTAAAAGTTGTGACTTTAATGAGCCCATATAACAATTAGTTAATATCAATCAGTATAAAACTGAGTTATCTAACTAATAACTGCAGGGCAGCAGTGTTATGATATGATGGCATTAACCATATACTGTTGGTGGGCTCAATGACACACTTGCAGCCAAGGCTATTTCTGGGACCGTGGTTCCTTGTAGGACTGACGTCTAGTTTACAGACACAGCTGTGACATCTGATACTTTCAACCAATGCACATGAGGAAGTTCAGGCAAGGACACGCCCGGACATCCTGAATTAATGATTCATTGTCTGGTTCTAAATCACTTTCCTTTTTCTACCTTTTTTTAGATAAGATTTGTGATCAGATCAGTGACGCAGTGCTGGATGCTCACCTGAAGCAGGATCCTGATGCCAAAGTGGCCTGTGGTGAGTAGAATCACAGTGAGTTATTTTTACTTGTGCTATTTTTAGATGTAAACACAAAATGATCATGTTGTGTTTGACCTAATAGGGCATATCCAGCAAATACAATCAATAATCAACACCCATGTGGGCCCCTTGTTGCTTGAATTTGGCCACAAAGTAACAACCTAAACCTAGATAAATGCCACATACAAATACTGGCAAGGTTTCCCCTAAAATGTGTAAAATGTGGCCCAAATAGCATGTGGCTGTAGAACACTTTTGATAGCAAATGTGCTGGCCTTCACATGGCCCACAGGCCATATGTTTACAACGGTCAGTCACAATAGTGTATGCTTGAAAACATTTTGCTTTTTCTTTTAAATCTGTTGGCTAATGTGGAATTTCACTGTCCAACCTTTTACCCCAGATCAGTCAAAAATTACTGCATGTGTGGGTCGAGTAATACTTTCGTAGGTGTCAGGTATGCACCAGGTCAGGCCAAATAAGCCAAATAAGCAAACAAAAAAAAATACATATTCATACTGATGAAGTTGTCTGATATAACAGACAAACAGGACGTATCAGTACAGCTCCTAATGCAGTGTAACAATCTGTGTCTGTTCTCACAGAGACAGTGTGTAAGACAGGCATGGTGCTGCTCTGTGGTGAGATCACGTCCACAGCTAACGTAGACTATCAGCGTGTGGTGAGAGACACCATCAGACACATCGGTTATGACAACTCCAACAAAGGTAACATGTACAATAACCCTTTGTTAAACTAATCATCTTACTCTGTCTTTTGTTGTCATTATCTTTTTGTCATCGACAGTTGAAAACAAATTTGATTTTTTCTGCATACCCTTTTTCAGGCTTTGATTATAAGACCTGTAATGTGTTGGTGGCTCTGGAGCAGCAGTCTCCTGATATTGCTCAGGGAGTTCACATTGATCGCCAGGAGACTGACATTGGAGCTGGAGACCAGGTCATCAGGAAACACCACATCAGTTTTTTTTGGCTTTTGCTAATCTCAAACAACAGCATGTTCCTCACAAGCCTGACATCACATTTTCTTACAAAGGTACAAAGGTACCTCAAACATGACATGGTAAAATTAATTTCTATTGCTATTGGTCTTACAGGGTCTGATGTTCGGATATGCTACGGACGAGACTGAGGAGTGTATGCCTCTGACCATCGTCCTTGCTCATAAACTCAACGCTAAGATGGCCGAGTTTAGAAGAAACGGAACAATTCCCTGGCTTCAGCCAGACTCCAAGACACAGGTGGGGAAAAACAATTTACCTCTTCTACTTTTATACAGTTTGACACAGTAGCGGCTAATGGCGGCATGTGCGAAGGAGGAGGAGGAGGGAGGAAGGGAGGGGAGAGCGTTGGCCCGTACTGAGACACCGTACCTTACATGTACAACTTAGAATTAACTCAACTGATGTATTTTTTTTTTTTTTTTACTTTTTCCAATTTGTATTCTTCCTTTAGCGTGCACCACGCCATGGTCATCATGTGTTTCTTCTTCTCACCACCATCCTTACCACTAACTCTCTTAGGACTCATCACTGTTATGAAGAGTAATGCACAAAATAGAGAGAACATCAAACACAATACGGAAGACTCACGGGAGATGCATACAGAAGTCAGTGAACACATGAAGTGAACGAGTGAGGCGGAGTGGGCTGCTCCGAGTGCTCGGCCACCTAGTGTTGGTGTCTGTAAGCGTGCTCGTATCTCAAGTCTTTCCTTGTATCTCGAAGCAAGAATTTGCTTGAATGCTAATAATGCTTACTTATTACTTGTTGACTTTGTCTCTGTGTTTGCCCCCCCCACCCCCCCCCACCCCCTCAACTAATACTGGTTTACTAATACAGTATCTGCGTATGACCCTTCAGAATGTGCTTACCAACAGGCACCAACCAGTTCATGCTGGTATTCTTCATCTGAGCTGCTGAATGCCTTTCCAATAACACTCTAAGCAAGTGCCACAGACATATCAAATCTAGATCACTGGAACATGTGACAAACACACCCCCTCACACCCACAGGCATGTGACACAGGGCCTGTGCTATTCTGTAGCAGATGTTCAAAGTCAAAGATTGATTAGACCAGAACTTTCTTTTTTGTTTTATATAATTTATTGGCCTGCATTCCAGATGACCTCAAATGATTGTGCTGTGAAAGCTGACTGTTTCACCTCTTTGTCTCCAACAAGGTCACAGTTCATTATATGCAGGAAAATGGTGCAGTGATCCCCAAGAGGGTCCACACTGTGGTGATCTCAGTGCAGCATGATGACAATGTGAGCCTGGAGGACCAGAGGAGAGTCCTGAAGGAGAAGGTCATCAAAGCAGTGATTCCAGCAAAGTACCTAGACGAGGACACCATCTATCACCTGCAGCCCAGCGGCCGCTTCGTGATTGGTGGACCACAGGTAAACAACTACATTTTTCAATCAATTATAGGATCTCTGAGCACATTATTACAATCAATGACCCTACTGATAATAAAGTTTAAACTATTTTTAAAACATTTTCATCACATGTATACAACATAAATCTCTTACTTTTTTCATATTTCACAAGTTCTGTAGCCATTTTTGTGTTAGATTTAGGTCTCAGTGTTGAACAGAATTTCTACATGAGTTTTTCTGTACCTGCAATGCAAATTAGCTAATCACGGTAGTATACTTTACACAATTAAGTACTTCACACCAATCAGCCAGCACAAACGTCTTTGAAATAACAGTGACCCAAAAGAACACATTTTAGTATCATTTTTTAAACATTAGGGGGATGCTGGAGTTACTGGCAGGAAGATCATTGTTGACACCTACGGTGGCTGGGGGGCCCATGGTGGTGGCGCCTTCTCTGGGAAGGACTACACCAAGGTGGACCGCTCAGCTGCCTATGCTGCCCGCTGGGTGGCCAAGTCTCTGGTGAAGGCCAAACTCTGCAGGAGGGTCCTGGTGCAGGTGAGACGGTCAGAGCTGTCTGACTTTTTTTTAAAAAAGTAAATTAAAGTGTAAAATCAGGGTTGAATGTATAGGCACTGCTAGACAAATTAATTGTCTAGAAAAATGAGATGCAAATACTGTCTGTTGTTGGCACCTCCAGGTCTCGTTCTCCAACTAATCAGGAAGAGGTTAACTGTAAGGTCCACCCAAGTGCTTTCTGTTCTCTGTGATAGTTTTACTACTGGTCTACTTCCGGAACAGTAACCGGTCATGGGATAGAATAAGTTCTTGTGACACTACAGTATGTGTTGTCCCTGGTTCTGTCACGAACAGTTCCTGTTACTGTCAAGATCCCTAGTTCCTGGGTCTTATTCCTGCAGTGAAGACACATACTGTCTACCAGTCAGCGCTCATGTTAAATTAAAGGAAAGACTTTCATTATGTTGTATATATCTATCTTTATAGTTTCAGTATTTAATTCTGATCATGTTTTCTTTATTCTCAGGTGGCATATGCCATCGGAGTGGCTCATCCACTGTCAATCTCCCTCTTCACCTACGGCTCCTCCCAGAAGTCTGAGAAAGAGCTGCTGCAGATCATCAACAAAAACTTTGACCTCAGACCAGGCGTCATCGTCAGGTCATTACTACATCATTCATTTATTGTTGACATGACACAGTGATTATGCTTTAATTAAGTGCTTTTCTTTGCACTTGCAGGGATCTGGACCTGAAGAGACCGATCTACCAGAAGACGGCATGTTACGGACATTTTGGCAGGAAAGACTTCCCCTGGGAAATCCCTAAGAACCTCAACTTCTAGTCACTTTATATATGCGTGTGTAAATGCGTGTATGTGTGAGAGCAAGTGTTTGTGTCTCTAGGTGTGTGTTTATGTGTTCTTGTCTGGCAGCTGTCAGAACAGTCAAGTTCAAGGGTGAGGAGCAGATAAACCTCTGGTCTGTGTCATTTCATAGCCGTCAACTAAAATGATGTGCACGGTGACATTTTTGTCACATGCAGCAAATGCTCACAGGCTACTGTAAAATTCTGTAATAATTTATATATATATATACACATATATATATATTATAAAGTATACTCTAATAAAAAAACAAGTCTTTACATTTAAAGACAAAGTTGCTTTAATTGCTTCCAAAACTAGAAATGTGTTTCCACCAATAACTGCATGTGAGTGTCTGCTGCTATAACAAAATATACAACAGTGCTTATTTAGCCAATACGAGTCAGAAACAGCAACAAAGAAAAGAGTTCTGGAGAATATTATACCTTGAATTACAAAATAATCTTGGATGAAAAGTACACACATTTTTGCGTTACACAAAGAGCAGCCGTTATTCTTGGCAAACAGAGGTGGTCCAGGCCTGCTACAGTATTGTCTGACGTTTTTGGAAAAACCTCACTAAAACCATTGAGGTAAAGAGAGTGAAAGCTTGTCATGTAAGAAAGCTTCCTGAGTGGGAACAATGCAGAGTTCATGTCTGAACAGCCGAACATTTAAACAAACAGCAGCGCCGACACCGGGCGGCATTTGAGGCACTTTCAGGAAATCGCTTCTCACAAAGGACTGATTGTTAACGGAGGAAAATTAAAACAAACAGTAAGGATGGGGTGAATCCCTTAAACTGGCCTGTGATAGTCAGAAAAGGCACATGTTGCAGATAATTGTGCAGTGACTCTGCAGTGTTTTTAGCGTATAAAAATATTTTTGGTGACAGATGAGGAGAACAGATTTGGCATCAGTGGTGAGTGCAATAATACACGTGAGCATCTGCTGATGCACTTCAGGCACCTTCTTCAGATGAGTTCATATTTCCACAGATACTGAACTACCAAATACTTTCAGTCACAGGATGGTCAAAACCTCTGGCTGGTGGTGGTTGGAGATGCTGTGAAACTCTGACTTAGGTTTAGAGTCACTGGAAAAGTTCTGCAGTCGCTCTCCCCTCACCAGGATTATCAACGTGTCCCGGGACATGCCCCTGAACTCGAAGGCGAATGTTCCGTAGAAGAGCATGATGAGCATGCAATAAATCCACTCGAAGATGGCAGAGGCGTGCTGCAGGACGAAGCTCTCCTGCACAAAGAAGGCTCCACCTGGTCAGCAGAAGTTCAGGAGAATTATGAGCCACTGGGGCAAGAGGAGCAACATTTACACCACCTTACTAATGACTGCAGCAGTTTAGTGCCTGTCCATACTGAAACACTGACCTGGAGTTTCTCTGTGATATGCTCACTCATAGTAATATGAATCTATACCTTCTCCAGTAGGGGGCCACATAACACATAATAATGGGCAGCATCACACTTCAGACAAGTCTCCACTGTGTCACATCACACGTCTTAGCCAGTTTTCTGAGTCTGAACTTATTTGTTGTCTTTGATTTATTTTACTTCCCCTAAACAGATTTTTTTGGGGAGGAGCTGTTTCAGATATATATGTCTCTGTCCACAGGTTTAATGTAGCTTCTATACATATCTAAGAAGTGTAGTTGGCCAACTAACTTCACCCAATTAAGTCCTCTAAACCCATTAAACTATTAGTGTGGACATGATGGAAGTTATTCTGAATTGACACAAAACATCAGTGGAAGGATACTGAGCACCAGGGCTATCAGAGCCAGCAGGGCCATGCCCACCCTCAAGTGCGCCACTCCATACTGGCCCTGGGTCTTGGCCAGTCTGTAGGTCAAAGCCGACTGCAGACTCACAAACAGCATGCTGCAGGGGAAGGCCACACCGGCTCCAATGTAGTGAAGGACTTTTACTAAATCAACCTGAGAAGGACAAACACAAGAGCATCATAGGTTTAATACAGAATTAATATTTTAAAGAAGAAAATACCAGCTAATAAGTGGAGGGGCTATTGGTGGAAACTGGGGTTGTAACTGACACAACTTAAGAGTATTTATCCGTGTACGCCATGATACCAAGTACCTTTACAGTTCTTTAGGTTGGGTTTCAATGAATATACAATGAACTACTTATTAGAATCTGAAATGTATTGCTTATAAAATGAGTGATATGAGTGTAGTTAGCAACAACAGCTACATGTTTGGCCTGATAGCTAAGGATTAGCTAAAAAAAATAGTAATAGTAATGCATTTAAGGTGAGTGGAATGAAGGTTAAAATTAGCCAAATATGATGAAGGCTTGTACCATGTATGTATATAATCCAGACCATAGCTTAAAGCCATGGTCAGCAATTAAGTAAATAAGTAATAAGGTGAAAGTGACAAAGATCGAAGTAAACCAGTTTTTTTAATTAAACTTTTTTTTTCAAGAGAATTAATAAAAACCACAGTAAACAGTCTTTGTTCTTTTCTGTCCAGTGACTGTGCTGTAAAAGCACTAGCATAAAAGCTGTTTGAGTGCTCTAACCTAGAATAAATGGAAGTCCTCACAACCTAAATAACAATGTCTGCCTGTCTCTCTGCTGGAATATTTTTTGCAGAATTTCCCGAAAATCCAATTTGGCACGAAAACATCCTGTGGAAGATGGAAACACCGGATCCTGTGTGTGCACGGCTGTTTATCATTCAACACAAGTGGTCTCACTACGACACATTTATACTGTACATCCATCACACAATGCCATGTTTACTCAGCCGCAAACACTGGCAGTCTGTGATGTCAGACAGGGAGGAGGAGGCTGCAGCCAATCACCAAGAAGAAACCCTCCTCTGGACTGGACTGTTCTCTTCGCTCCAAAATGTATTTGAAGGGGCCCAGACCCATCCATCCCAAGATGCAATCTGAGACGGTCACCTCCCACGACCACAGAAGCAGTGGGCCTCTGAAGAATAAGGACCCCGGGCAGAACACACGTGAGTATGACAGACACAGTCGCAACTCTTGTGGTTACATCACAGCAGGGGAACACACGTGGGCTGAGATGGAAGACCTGTCCTCAGACACATCTATGGTACACTGTTGTATATTTGTGTTAGTGTGGAAACAATGAAGAAACGTCTTCTATTATAATGATTCTTGGCCCAGAATATAACCTTGCTCCTCATATCAGAATCCTTTGCACACTTCCCTCACCTAAAGACGATTTTTGAATTCAAAGAGTCAAAGCAGAGTAAAAGAGATGGACCAACTCTACTGATGCAATAAAACAATGTCTGTGGTTAAACATGTGGTTGGCTGACAGGAGGTGGTTGTGAGACAGAGCTGACATGTAGAAAGACAGGTGCTTGGGACTCCACAAGAATGTATTTTCTCTAGAACCACTTGTATACAAGATGAATGAATTAAAAGGACATGGCTCGGTGATGTTATGCTTGGTAACAAAGTGATGGGACGTTTTGTTGTCCCAGTGTGCTGTTAGGGGTCTTTTCTTTATTTAAACACGAAACAGGAACCTTTTTCAGAGTAGTATATGTATTTTTTTGATTCCAAGATTGTGTTAACTGACAGCAAAGTAGTTTTAGTCTGAAGTCATGCAGATGTGCGACCAGGTTCAATCTTAATGTAAAAGATTACAAGAATCCTTTGGGACAGTTTTGCATGTCAGTTGGAAATATTCCCTGAGGTAACAATGGTTAGAGTTAGGAGTTAAGAAAAAGTATGAACGTATGGAGCCAATCATGTTATATACTTGTTTCTACTTGAAGGTTTCATCTTATATTTCAACTGCTGAGCAGACACTCCTGGACAAAAACAACGATTGGAACATTTTAAGCACCAAGTTTAAGCCAGTCGACACCTGGGGCTCTGAAAACCCTGCATATACTGGAAGGGCTGTGTGCAGATTAACCCTTAAGTTTGTGTATGTGGTCACAGTGTGGAAGCATGTGTGTGTCACGTTGTGGATTCTGTTGCTCTTCTTCTGTTAACAGCTGGTGCAAATCAACAGGCCACATCCACGTGTGCAGCCGGTTTTAAAAGAAAAAACGTTTTACTATGAGAGTTAGTCCTGAATCTGAACTCCATCTGAAGGCATGAGCATAAACACACGCAGGCACTCGTATACTGTCAGAAACAGAGATTCAGACAGAGTTTAGACAGCCAAGCTCAACAAAACAGCCCACAGACTGCAGAGCCACAAACACACACACACAGAGACACACACAGGCGCTGTACATGGTCACTGAGTCATTCTGTCATAAAGATGGTCCTTACTGCAAAGCAATACTCTACAGACTTATTTATTTTCATGTTTTAGTCAAATAAAAAGCCATAGGCCACGTGCACAGCTGATGTAACAACAAATACCAGCCTGACTCGTTGACATGAACGATGAGACACATAACTGAGACAAAGTGATTTACAACAGCCCGAGCCAGCGATGAAATGATATCATTTACAGTTGATTGAATACTCCAGCAACACAGTGACATTTGAGAGGGTTTTTGAATTCTTACCGGGAAGATTCCCAGTATAAAGAGTCCGGCTGCACAGATCCACCCAGTGGACAGACTGGCCACATTCAGGACACAGTTCTGGTGTTTCTCGATGACGTGAGCGTAGCGCAGCAGTCCGATCAGCATCACTGGAAGAAGAATAAAATTAAATATATATATATATATATTTCTATGAATATGTATAAAATAATAACAAAAACTGACTGTTCATTTCTTAGGAAAAGGGAATCAATCACTTCAGAAACCTGTATTGTGTATTATTAGTGGACACAATGTGTCAAAAGACATTCAGAGTGACATTAATTTAAATCTCAGACCTTTTAGCTCCGTTGAACCATAAAGAACATCCAGAGATGGGTTTTATGATAAATACCACACACACTCAGCAGAGACAGCTTAATGGTCTTGTTAAACGCACTCACATTCCAGCATCTTCTCAGGAACACTATAAGAACCAGGTGCACTCTGCTGAAAGGTCATGCAAGTGAAACGGAAAAGTAAAGTAAAAAACTCAAGATGATACTCTTTAAAATATTTCAGTAATTTTATAGGATAAAAGTCTAACATCAACTCTATTCAGGCTTATTTGCCCAAGCCTGTTTCTATGTTGCTATTAAATATAAAATAAATCTAATAATTAATAATTATAAGCAAAGTTAGTTTAAGTTACATTAGTTATAAATTATAGCCCATTTTCTATCCACATTTGCAGCAAAATTCTGCAGTTCTTTAGTCTGCCATCATTTCCCCTGTTTTTTTCTAGCAAATGCGATTCGCATTAGCTAAGTTTTATGTTAACAACTGTTCTGGCTCGTCCATTTATAAAATCCATAAAAATTCATATTTATTATATCATATTTATTCAATGAGTTGTGTGTCCCGTAAAAATTATGAGTCACGTGTTATATGAAATTAGTTGAGCTTTTCTTTAATAGCATTGATATCTTTTGCTTTTCATATTTTTGCTCCCTCTCTGTCCCTGTTAAAAGTTTTCTTCCATTCTAGTCTAGCTGCCAAGAGCAACTCCATTTAAATCTATTTAGTTTCCCATGCATTTGGTCTATGTTTTATATTCATCGTGCAAATGAGTTTGTTGGAGATTAACCTGAGCTTTAGTGAAACCCTTACTCCAAATATGGCTGTGACTCCTGCGACTGTAGCACACAACCCTGTTGTTGCTCGTAGGGGAAACAACAGCTTTGTTTTTAAATGGCCCTTAGTCCTTCAAAATTATAAGCTGCAGTAGACCACAGCTTACTATATCCACGTTCTGCAGAGCAAACTCTCAGAACCCTGAGAATCCTTTTGAACACCATGTAATAAAGCCAGAGTAAACCAACAAAAATAGAAGTTTCCGAGCAATTTTTGTTTGCCCCACAGCAGAGTAGAGTAGCTGCCCTTATGGTCTGAGGGGATGGAGAGTGGGGGGTGGGCGGGTTTGGGTCCTGCAAGGCATAAAAATGCACCATTCATGGCACAGAGTAAATTTTCCTCTCAGGAGGAACAGAGCAGAAACCCTGCTGGAGCCACTACAGCTGAGAAAACATGAAGTCTGAAGTCCTGAGTGTGCAGTGGCCAGGAGAGCTGTGTTTGAGTCCAAGTGTGTGTTTAAGTACCAGAGCCATGTTCTCTGTACAAAGGTGCATCTGATGTGAGGAGCTGTGAAGGAACTCTGTTTTGATACTCACCCATGAAAGAGCCTGTGGTGCACGTGAGGCTGAAAAAGCAGCTCTCTGGTGCCAGCGTTCCACATTTACTGCAGGGAAAACACAAAGCAGGGCAGTGAGCACACAGGCTGGCCTTCTGGCTCAGTGGGCTAAAGGTCAGCTAGGTTCTTGCAGAGTTCAGATAAGATCCATCAACAGTCAAGGAAAGTTTAAATGACTTCATATTTGCATGGACACTTCTCTGTCTCTCTGTACCCGGGGTCTCAAACTCAAATTAGATGAGGGCCACTACGCCTGCTGTCGTTTCATTGGACGACCTCATCGGTGTTTAATAAAAAAACAAAAATAGAATAAAACATATTTTTTGTATAGTCAAAGAACAATGACACAAAGCCCTTAACTTCGGAATCAAAACTAAAAATATGACAAACCTAATTTGACAACTTTAATAAATGTCCATCATGGATTTAAGGGTAATTGAATTTAGCTTTCAGACTTTGTAAAGACACATGCAGGAGCAGATTTTTGTTTGCACTTTGCGGCTTAGTGTGAGGACTTTTCAAAGAGGTGATGGATCCACTCCCCGTACACACAAAACAAAAGCTCCTCTTCCTGTGGAGGTGAAGAGGTTCCCCTTATTCTCCCCCACCACCGCCTGCATGCTGCAGTTGGGCAAGTGTGGACTTATCTAACAAGGAGACACACTGTGTCTGCGGCACCAGGAGTTTAAACACTAACTGACATTTGAAGGGAAACCTTGGTGTATTTTTGTCCAGTTTTGTTTTTGTGTCTTTTACTCATCACTCCTGTGTGATTTTAGGATTCTGCCACTGTTTGAATTGACATTTTCCCCTCAGCTGCAGTGATTCCACCTCTGCCTGGTTTTCTTGTGATCATTACTGAAGTTTTTTGTCTACTTTATTCTTCATGTTGAGGCTAAATCTCCTCTCCTAACTCCACAGCAGCAGTGAAGTGTGCAGGTTCAAGAGACACACACCTGATGAGTGGAATGTTGTCCAGGGTGCAGCAGAACACAGGACCCCTCTGCTGTGGAAGCCGCTCTTCACACGACTCATTGTAAATCCTGCAAACACACATGAGAAACTGTGGTTCACGTTGACCAAACCAGAATGAAAATATAGTTTGAGGACATAATGGATCATTTCCAGAACAGTTTTATCAAATGCCGTTATCAAATATCTTGATCCAGTCTACTTTCAGACCACAAATATTTGACGTCACTGACAGCTGACTGAAGACGCTGAGAGAAGGCCAGTGGCAGGGACTGTTTTAGTAACTTTAGCTTTCTTTTTTCTTTTTCTTTTTTATCAGGGCCTGTTTTTTCCCCCTCTTTTTTCCGCTCCAGATATGTTAAACATAGTCCAGTCCATGTTCTAAGAACAGACTTCCCAGTTCTCAGGATCATACATCTGCCTCCCTGCACACTGAAGTTTTAGCCTTCCAGAATTCTGGCTTTTCCAGAATCAAGTGTCTTTACAAATACAGCACTAAAATGTAACTGTCAGGTTAACAAGGAGAACTTATAGGAAGTTTCACTTCACACCTGTTTCCTTAACATTTCTAAGGTTCCAGAAGGAATCATTAAAAACAAACTAATGGTTAAATTAGTTAGTTAGTAAGTTGAGAAGAAAAATAATTTGGGATTCCACTTCAATAAAGTTCATGGTTAAAGGTTAAAAAAACATACAAAAAATACAATCTTCACTGTCATTTGAACCTGAATATCAACATATTCAGGTTGATAATACGCATTGCCAATATTTTAGACAATAACAAAAAGACGTGTTGTTTACATTGCTTTAACATGGTATTCTGCATGTGTTTTCTTACAGAGCTTCTACAAATAATTACACTCTGTTAAATGCACCAGCTTGGAAGGAGCTTCTCTCCATAAATAAATCCAGTAAGAAAATCATCATCATTGTTATCATTCAACTGCAGCTCTGACAGAAGTGTACAGTACATTCCTCCTCTTGTTGTCTCTCTGCAACAACTTGTTTTTCAAACATCCACCCATCCTGTCAACATGTGCCCCCGCTGTACTTTATTTTTTTTTATTGTCCACTCCCACATTTTACTTCTTTGATTCCTTCTCAGTTATCTATGTTTGTATTGAGGCTGATAAAACTTGGCAGGAAGTCAGGAGTCCATTTCATGACGACTGAGAAAAGATTCCTTACATCAAATTCAGCCTCGTTTGTTACAGCCTCCCAGCCAGTGTGACCATATGAGGCTTCAAGTTCACTGCAGTTTTTATGGATGCAAATCCAGCACTTTGCATCACTCCTACTTTCATGCAACAAACTTAATATTATATTAATAATAATAATATTTGAATAATATTGCATATTGCTATATTAGTGTACCTGAGTGAGTATAGATGAGTAACAGTCAGTAATGTTTTCTAATCTGATCAACAGACGACTACTGTTTGAGGTTACAATGTATTTATTACTGTTTTTAACTATAAATTAAGATAAGATATATTATATAAAGATTGTGTAGTGTACATTGAATGTAGTTTTGTGGACCTCCAGGGTTTAAATGCATCAAGAAAAGAGTGCCAAAGCAGGGGGCAGGGTGTGAACTCCTTCTGAAGGATTAATCATTATCAGTTGATTTTTGTCACAGGGACACAGGACATTCTGTTTCTCAGCTTGTTCTGTAACAAAGTGCGACAATCCTGATTATAGAACCTTCAAAACTGCAACAATAAATGACAAATTGGTTTTTGAGGTAGAAACACGGTATTCTAGGAATTCAGCTGGTGTTTGGTGTGTGATTTACCAGTTGTTCACGGGGCAGACATGTTGGTTGTACAGGGCCATCACGTATCTGTAAGACGAGAGCAGAAGCAGTTCTGGTCAAAGGCTGTTGTCAGAAATATTAAAATTAAAGAATTTATTTAAGCAGCTATTCTTCATTCACCTGTAGGGATTTATTAGCTCCCTCACTCTAACAGAAAAATAACATTTCTACACCAACAAAGCAAAGATCACATTTAATAACCTAACTGTAGAGTTACCTAGACGGGCACGCTGCCTGCATAGTCTGGTGGCTTTATTTTAACCTGTATTTGCACATCCAAGGAGAAGTAGTCGACGTCAGTGACAGTAAACCTTTGGACTTGACCAGATTATTCAATCCACATAAACACTGACCAGTGATCAGTGTTATTTCCGTTGTCATTAGTGTGGTTAAAAAGTACACTGGTGCATGCAGAAATGAAACTGTGGATCTGTGGTTTCCAAAGTGAGGGGGCACCTCCCTGGCATAGAGGTAGTGCAGGTGAGGCATACCCAGAGAATGAATGTCCATTTCAATATTGTTTTAGTTGTTTCACAAAGAGCTTTGATTTGGTTTGGTGTTTTGATTAATAAGAATAGCAGTATTTGGAAATAAGTGGGAATAAGTGGGAAAGGAGGATGCTGCAGAAAGATTGACAACACTGCTGTAACTCAACGTGTTGGTCTGATTGGTGAGTTCCAGTCTACTGGACAACACAGCCGCAGTGTTTGATTTGGGCGATACTGATCTTGTGTTCCTAGTGGCTGTGTCTTCACAGAGTAAATAATATTTAAGAGACCTCCGGTAAACAACTAGTGTATAGAAGATGTGATGTGAACAGATCAGCATAAACAGATTTACTACAGCAGTAGAATAATCCACTCAGTGGACAACAGACATGAAGACGTTCTGTCCCCACGACACTATATCTTGTCTGAGAGGTAAGAACCAACAAATCAAAAAGGTCTTTTAAACCTTGAACAACAGAAACATGTTGCTTCACAGGAAGGATAAGACACATGTCTGAAAAAACAGGGAGATGGATACAGGAGGAGGGATTTTCTGTTAGTCTGATCTACTCTGCTGGACACACGGTGTAATATTTGCTTATAAATAGTTGTTGTCTTGCAGCTGCATCACTTGGTCATGTCTTGGCGTGCCCATTCATCAGAGGAGACAGATCAGTGTCCAGGTCAGTCAGAGGGAGGTGGACTACAGATGGGTTTCTCACAGGGAGAACTGTAGAGAGATGGTGTGAAAAATTCTTGTGTCTGCTTCATGGAGGTCTGAAATGTTTGTTACAGAGCAGACTGTGTTACTCCTCTCACTCTCTCAAATGATGAGGGAAGAAACAGCAGGTCCATGTTGATTTATGTGGCCGCTGCAGACCTCAACTCAGCTTCACAGTTAATTTCTTACTAAAGCTGCAGTAAAATGGTTGTTTTTGTTACATGGAAATTGCTCCACTCAATATCTAGCATTGGTCAATCATTAAGGACAGGTGTTTTGAAGGTGTGATGAGGGAGTAATTCCATTATCAAGAAAAGTCGGCACAACATAGCCTTTCTGTCTTGTTCAGCTACAAATCTAATAGTAATAATGGGGCTGTGAAATGATTACATTGTTTTTATTTAGAAAAGCTGTGTATTGATTGCTGCCTGCTGAATACAGCACACTGTGTGTAAGAAATGGTGTGGTTAAAAAGGGTCATTCACACTACATGTCTTCTAGGTTTACTCTCATACTAATGTAGGAGGGGGACGTAAAGGGAGCACGATTAAATAAAGAGGCAGATTAAAAGACTGACTTTGGTATTTTCTCTGGAGATGGAGAACACACCTCAGTTCTTCATACTCTACTGTATCTCCAGTAGCTGTTTATTTGTCATAGACACGATAACTACCTTCTCTCTGTACATTGATGTCCCCTCAACATGAACACAGTGTCTGTGTGTCACCAAACCCAGACTTATCTGCAGAGTTAAAGACGTCAGAGACACTGAGCTGATATGGAAAACCTCTGTCTCTCCACCAATCCCTAATTTACCTTTCTCTTTCTGTAACTTCAGCATTGATTGGTGACACTTTGACCTTAGTCCCGTTCTTACTAGCTCTGTGTGAACCAGCTTGAATCCAAATGAAAGCTAAAGAGTCACATCTTTATGAATCATGTGTAAATGGAAGAATAGATAATAGTTTAGGTTTAGGTAGGAATGGTTACCTTTAATAATGACTAATACAAATATGAAAAATCACTTTTACTTTTTGTTCCTCTGTCTTAGATTGCCTCAGTGGTGGCCTTTGTAACTGTCAACTGGCGGAGACTTTACTCCAGATGCCCTTCCTGATGAGCTTATCCTGGGTTGGGAGACTGGGTGGAACCAAACTCTGAACCTTCTGCAAGGCAGGTGAGAATACTACCATAATGGCCTCAGTAAGACAAGACTAATATATTAATGTTTCCAGTTGTAAAATCCAGCATCATGTGAC